AGGGATCCAGGGTGAGAATCCAAAGGTGCAGCAGCTTTCCAAGGGATTCAGGGTGGGAATCCAAGAGATCCAGGGTGAGAATCCAAGGGATCCAGGGTGGGAATCCAAAGGTGCAGCAGCTTCCCAAGGGATCCAGGGTGAGAATCCAAAGGTGCAGCTGCTTTTCGAAGGGATCCAGGGGTTTTTTGGGATGCTGAGGGTTTTTTTGGGACACTGAGGGTTTTTTGGGATGCTGAGGGGTTTTTTTGGGATACTGAGGGGTTTTTATGGGACACTGAGGGTTTTTGGGGATGCTGAGGTTTTTTTGGGACGCTGAGGGGTTTTTTGGGATGCTGAGGGTTTTTTTGGGGATGCTGAGGGTTTTTTGGGGATGCTGAGGGGTTTTTTTGGGATGCTGAGGCTTTTTATTGGGATACTGAGGGTTTTTTTGGGACGCTGAGGGGCTTTATTGGGATACTGAGGGGTTTTTTTGGGACACTGAGGGGCTTTATTGGGATACTGAGGGGTTTTTTTGGGACGCTGAGGGGTTTTTTTGGGATACTGAGTTTTTTATTGGGACCCTGAGGGTTTTTTGGGATGCTGAGGGTTTTTTTAGGATTCTGAGGGGGATTTTGGGATGCTGAGGTTTTTATTGGGACACTGAGGGTTTTATTGGGATGCTGAGGGTTTTTTTGGGACGCTGAGGTTTTTTTTGGGACGCTGAGGGTTTTTTGGGATGCTCAGGGGTTTTTTGGGATGCTGAGAGTTTTTTATTGGGACACTGAGGGTTTTTTTGGATAGTGAGGGGTTTTTTGGGACGCTGAGGGTTTTTTTGGGATGCTAAGTGGTTTTTTGGGATGCTGAGGGGTTTTTGGGCTGCAGTTTTTGCAGGACAGCCTGGCGGCCGTGCCGGACGACGCCTGGAGCTGCCCCTTGGTGAGGGAGATGTGCCGCCAGCTGAGCAGCTACAACGGATCCCACCTGGAAAAGGTGAGGATTGGGAAGGCCCTGGGAGGGGCTGGAAGTGGCCAATCCAGCTGGGAAAGGGAAGGAGAACCACCAGGAAGGGAATGCTGGAAGTGGAATGTTGGCCCGAGGCTTTGGTTGTGTTGGTCAGACCCAACTCGTGGCGTCTCCAGGGGTTTCCAGGGGGTCACATTCCTGTTGCTTTTCCAGAATTTCCTGTATAAATGCATTGGGATGACGCTGGGAGCTTGTTCCAGCAAGGAGCTGGTGCAGAAGCAGCTCCAGGAGCTCCTGGAGACGGCCAAGTACCAGGAGGAGGCCGAGAGGGAGGTGAGGAATTGGGATAAGGGGTGGAGAGTGAGGGGTGGGATCATTGGGGATGGGATTATCAGGGATGGATTGTCAGGGATGGGATTGTCAGGGATGGATTATGGGGGATGGATCATGAGGGGTGGGATCATTGGGAATGGGATCATCAGGGATGGATAATCAGGGATGGGATCATCAGGGATGGGATGATCAGGGATGGATCATCAGGGATGGGATTATCAATGATGGGATCATCAGGGATGGATCATGAGGGATGGATCCTCAGGGATGGGAAATCAGGGATGGGATTATCAGGGATGGAGCATCAG